TGGCTTAGACCAGTGATTTTCAACCAGTGTGCCGCAAGAATTTTTAAAGCATGTAACAGCTGACTGTTTGGTCAAGGGTCACTGATCTCTTTTCCCTTAGAAGAGATTATCAAATAAAAAAAACGACAACAGCCCTGGCCTGTTTGACTCAATTGGTTGGAGAATCCTCCCATACACCAAAAGGTGGTGGGTTTGATTCCTGGTCAGCGTACATGTCCAGGTTGTGGGTTAGTCAGGGCACATATGGGAGGCAACAGATCGACGTTTCTTTCTCACATTGATGTTTTTTCTCTCTCAATGTCTCTGTCTCTCTCTCTCTCTCAAAAAAAAATCAATTAAAAAATTAAAAGAAAAAATGACAACAACCAATACATTAGCCATCTGGTGTGGATGAATCAAAATTATACCTTTTTTGTCAGATCAGCAAAAAATATATTTTTGGTGTGCCACAGATTTTTAGTAATTAGTTTATATGTGCCATGAGAAAAAAAGGGTTGAAAATTGCTGGTTTAGACAGTTAGACTTGATACTTCTTCCTACTATGCCCAATTAAGGACTATTAAAGCACCTACTGTGTGCCAAGACTATTACAGGCATTAGGGAATAGGTCTTCTTAGAAGGAAGGGAACACAGAAAGAGACACAGTAAGGGGATAATTATCAAATTCTGCTTCTGAATTTGTTCTTTCATAAATGTACACATAATATTACTGTTGAAATCTGATACTCTTTAAGAAGTGAAAACTAAAGCTTAAAAACAATAAAATCTGCTGCTGTACTAAAGTGGACACATCTCTGACTACAGAGGCCTCTTTATCTGACTGCCAAAGGGAGCACTGACCAGTGGAAACTGAGGTGGAAAATGGAGACCCTAAACCTGTGGGCTCCACAGCTGGTTAACTGCTCCCTCAGAAATGGACTGAAAGACATATTTAGAACTTGGCATCCACTCCCAACTAGTATTCAGCAGCACTAGTGGGGGCTAATGAAGGAGAACCCCCTTCTGGCCAGACTAAGAAAAGTGGGTATCAAAGGCAACTGAAAATGCCACGTAGGACTGAAGGCAATGGAAGCCAGAGATACCCAGAAGGAGCAAGACTCCCTCAAAGTGCTGCTCAAAGAGACCGCTGCCACCTTCACACTAACGACAGTCACTTAGAGCAGGGATTTCTAACCAGAGTGTCAAAATAATTTTTAAAACATGCAATACCTGACTATTTAGTCAGGGGCACGGACCTCTTTTTCCTTTGATTGTCAAATGAAAAAATGACCAAGAGCCAACACAACAATAGCAGTCCAATGTGACTGAGTCAGAATTATACCTATTTTTTTTTTTTGTCAGATTTTGGTGTGCCACAGAATTTTAGTAATTAGTTTGTGTGTCATGAGATGAAAAAAGTTGAAAATCGCTGCCTTAGGGTGTTAGAAAATCACTGGCTTAGAGAGTTGTATTTATCTCCAGTCTGTGCCACTGTGCCAGGAGGGGGTTGGGACGGATGGTCTTGTTATTTTCTATGTGTTCATCCTGGCAGTCTGAGCAGTGCTGAAGGCAAACCCAGGACAGAGAAGTGGAAAGGAAAATCTGATTAATAATTATACTCTGAGTTTACAGAGCACTTCTTTTTCCCCTGACGAACCTGAAGTGTTTCAGAGACATTTACTTCAGTTTCTCTATTTAAAGATTTCATAGGCAAGTCATAAACAATATCCAGTACATGGGACAGTTGAGATATCAAAGATTAGGAAAAGCACACATACCCTCTGGGGGAATCAGCAAAGAGATGAAACTAAGAGCTCTGTTTCTCCTATCTCTTGGTAGCGTAGGCTGCTTCTAAAAATACTTCTGAGAGTTTCAGGAAAATTGGGTATCCCAAAGGTTCCAAAATAAGCGTCTAGAATTTCACACAAGAGAATAGTCCTGCCTAACCTCCTCACCGTACAGCACAGATCAAGAGCCCAAGTTGCCTTAAATTATTTCTAAGACAAGCCAAAAAAGGAATAAAGAGGGAAGAAAGATGGGACAAAGAAGGAGAACAAAAGCACATGTATTTTGTCTAGATCAAAGAAGTTCCAATTTTCATCTCAAGAGAGGGACACTGGTGGTTCCATAAGGCCTGTCTACTGCAAAAAAAACAAAGCAATGTAACTAGAGGATAAATCACTAGTCATTTTATGTTTCTTTCTTGTCCCTGAAAAAAAAAAAGTATATATGTTTCTACAAGAACACTCAATTATTTAGAATTTACAGTGAGTCTACTAGTAAATACCAGACATCATGATGGGTCTAAGTACAGAATCTGAATAAAATGCTGTCTCCTGTGTCCCAGAAATGGAAATTCAGATGGGAGTGATAACCATTGGTATAAAAATGTCAATAATTCAAATAGACAAATCAGTCCATACTTCTTTTTTGTTTGTTTTATTAATCCTCACTAGAGGATAATCTTTCCATTGATTTTTAGAAAGAATGGGAGAGAGAGATTGAGGGGGAGAGGGAGGGAGAAAGGAAGGGCGGGAAAGACAAAAACATTGATGTGAGAGAGACAATGTGATCAATTGCCTCCCACACCCATCCTGACCTGGACTGGGGATGGAATCTGCAACCCAGCTTTGTGCCCTTGACTGGGAATTGAACCTGCGACCCTTTGGTGCATGAGCCAAAACTCTTAATTATTGAACCACACCAGCCAGGACTCAGCAGACACTTCTGGATTGTAAAAGAAGTTTTTGGAGGAAAATAATAGCAGAATATAAGGGGCATCTTGGCTGAGGAGATCAGAAAAGGCCTTGGTAATGAAGTGATACCTTGACTGAGGCTGGAAGAATGGCACTAAGTAAAGGAAGGAGCTTTCTCTGGGGGCAGAAGGATTCACACGTACACAGGCTGTCAGGTTTGAGAACAGACTTATAGACTTGGGCCTTTCCAGGGATCAAGGCCAGTGGATTAAGAGTTCACTGGGAGCCCTAACCAGTTTGGCTCAGTGGATAGAGCGTCAGCCTGCGGACTCAAAGGTCCCAGGTTCGATTCCGGTCGAGGGCATGTACCTTGGTTGCGGGGGGCACATCCCCAGTGGGGAGTGTGCAGGAGGCAGCTGATCGATGTTTCTCTCATCGATGTTTCTGGCTCTCTATCCCTCTCCCTTCCTCTCTGTAGAAAACCAATAAAATATATTTTTTAAAAAAAAGAGTTCACTGGGAGATGAAGAAGAAGCTGGCAGGCAGGCAAGCCCACGCTTTGCAAGGCCAGTCTAAGTATCTTAAGGAATTTAATTTAAGGACCTTGCTTGTCCTATGTCTTTCATAGCTCCCAGCCCACTGCTTTTCTCATAGCAGACACTAAGAAAATACATGTTTATTTCAGCAAATCCAGTGACCATTTAACAAGCAATGCAATGATTTCAAATCTTAGCCCTCAAGATTCTTATAATCTAGTTTTTAGAAAAAAGAAACCAGACCACTCTTCAACCACAAATAACAATGTTCTTGAAACAAGGAAAATATCCTGAGGCCAAATGAAATGTTCAGGTTATACAGAGTTCATTGGATGGGGGATAATTTTAGGCTATGGTGGTGAAACAGGTTTCCTAGAGTTGAAGGAACTCCAAGTGGAAACTGAAGTCTGGGGAAAATTTGGCTAAGCTGCCTGGAGAGAATGCTGCATATACACAGAGCAGTGTGCACAGAAGCACAGATGTAGAAAGGGCGGCTGAAACATACTGCCATCCATCCCAGAGGCAGCCCCAGGTGGGTTCACCCAGCCTAGGGGACTGGCCTGGAGATATAAGAAAATACCTACAGGCCAACCCCCGCCCCCTAACCATCCCCTCTCCCAGCTGGTCTCCTGCCTGACACTCTGGGGGAGCCGCAGAAGAAAAGTGAGACTTCCCTAATAAGAGAAGGTTAGGCAGAGAGATATGGATCTAATTCACTGAGATAAAAAATTAAATGCCAGGGAGGGCAAGAAGAGGCAAATTATGCAACTGAAATTTTATGTGTAAGCCAGGAAATTCAAAGGTCACAATTCCCAAAGTAACTATAACCTGACCTGTCAGCATATGTAGTCTTTGGCACTGCCAGAACCAAAAGCAACTTACCATGCTCAGTGCTCTCACCGCCAGCACATACCTGCTGTTCTGTAGCACCAGGCAGTCTATGTCTGTGCTCTGCTCAGAGCCCACCTGGGCTGTCCACATAAGGCTGCATTAAGCCTTTAGCCATTCTCTGCAGTCCCTAAGTCTTTTAGGCAGAGCTTTACCCTGAGACTCAATGCCTAATGAACTTCAGGTCTTTTTTCTTTTATTTTAAAATATATTTTATTGATTTTTTTTCTTTTCTTTTTTTTTTTTTTACATAGAGGAAGGGAGAGGGATAGTTAGAAACATCTATGAGAGAGAAACATCATGAGAGAGAAACATCAATCAGCTGCCTCCTGCACACCCCCTACTGGGGATGTGCCCACAACCAAGGTACATGCCCTTGACCGGAATCGAACCCGGGACCCTTCAGTCTGCAGGCCGACGCTGAGCCAAACCAGTTAGGCAGCGGTTCTCAACCTGTGGGTCGTGACCCCTTTAGGGGTCAAACGACCCTTTCACAGGGGTCGCCTAAATACATCCTGCATATCAGATATTTACATTACGATTCATAACAGTAGCAAAATTACAGTTATGAAGCAGCCTGTATTGTGATAGTGAGGAGGGGACATGAGGCTCTTATCCTCCAGCCTGGGGTGACTGTTAAGGCTGTGGATATCTATCTGCCTGTGGGTAGAAGAGAGACCAATAGGGCCTGGCTTAGAAAGAGGTGATCATAGGCCTTTTTAAAAGACAAGTCCCCTGAAATCTTCCCGGATGCTGTTCAATCATCACAACTGAAAAGACTCACCCAAAAAGGGTTGATGTCCTAGATATCCTACCTCCCTTTGGGCCATGGCTTTATATGAGTAACTGAAACAACAGGCCCAGGGCAAAGAATAACTTTTGTGTTTTTTTGTTTTTGTTCTTAAATATGGAACGCTTCACAAGTTTGGGTGTCATCCTTTTGCAAGGGCCAGTCTAATCTTCTCTGTATCATTCCAATTTTAGTATATGTGCTGCCAAAGCAAGTACTGACTTTTGTTTCTTAATCCTCACCTGAGGATATGTTTTTATCGATTTTTAGAGAGAGGAAGAGAGAGAGGGAGAGAGAGAGAGAAACATAGATCGGTTGCTTCCCATAGGCTCCCTGACCATGGATCAAACCCGTAACCAGAGTATGTACCCTGACTGGGAACCGAACCTGAAACCTTTTGGTGTACTGGACCATGCTTCAACCAACAGACACCCGGCCAGGGAAAAAATGATGTTCTTGTTACTTTGGCTCCCAAGATACACAGAGACAAGAGAAAGCCCAGTTCCTGAGAAATGTGTAACTAAAACTAGCTCTACTGAACAGTTAGTTGCCTGACCATGAGCATGGCCCTTAGTGGTGCTCATAAAACCACCTTGCATGACTGTTATGAGAATTAAATGATGCCATATATATCCTATCTAATAAAAGACAAAAGAGTAATTAACCATACCTCCTCTACGCTTCCCATTGGCTAATCAGCGAGATATGCAAATTAACTGCCAACAAAGATGGTGGCCGGCAACCACACAGCTGAAGCAAGCAGGAGGCTTTCTTGCTCCTGTGATGGAGGAAGCCAAGGTTCCCCGCCTGCCACGGCCTGCTCTAAGCTCCAAAAGCAACAGCTCCGAAAGCAACAAAGTTTCAATTATAGAAGCTAAACAAGCCCGAGATACCTGCTTTCAGCCAGCCGCGGCCTCAGAGCTGGAGCGAGCAGGACGGCAACAAAGTTTCAATTATAGAAGCCAAACAAACCCCAGATACCTGCTTTCAGCCAGCTGCGGCCTCAGAGCTGGGAGCGCCAGTGACGGCAACAAAGATTTAATTATAGAAGGTAAATAAATCCCTGAATAAAAAAAAATAAAGAAAAGGAGAGGCTGGGAGCTTCAGTCGCCGGCCAGCCTGAAAACGGCCCTCAGCCCCTCACCCAGGCTGGTCAGGCACCCCAGTGGGGACCCCCACCTTGAAGGGAGTGTGACCAGCTGCAAACAGCCATCAGCCCCTCACCCAGGCTGGCCAGGCACCCCAGCGGGACCCCCACCCTGATCCGGGACACCCTTCAGGGCAAACCAGCCGTCCCCCACCCGTGCACCAGGCCTCTATCCTATGTAGTAAAAGGGTAATATGCAAACTGACCCTAACAGCAGAAAGACTGAGAATGACTGGTCACTATGTCACACACTGACCACCAGGGGGCAGATGCTCAATGCAGGAGCTGCCCTCTGGTGGTCAGTGCGCTCCCACATGGGGGAGCTCTGCTCAGTCACAAGCCAGGCTGATGGCTGCCAGTACAGTGGTGGTGGTGGGAGCCTCTCCTGCCTCCTCAGCAGCACTAAGGATGTCCGACTGCAGTTTAGGCCTGCTCCCCGCTGGCAAGTGGACATCCCCCGAGGGCTGCCAGGCTGCCAGAGGGATGTCTGATTGCCAGCTTAGGCCCAATCCCCCCGGGGAGCAGGCCTAAGCCAGGATGTGGTCATCCCCGGAGGGGTCCCAGACTGTGAGAGAGCACAGGCCGGGCTGAGGAACCCCCCAACCCCTCGCCCCGAGTGCACAAATTTTTGTGCACTGGGCCTCTAAAATATATATATATCAAGGGGCTGGAACAACAGAATGACTGGAACAACTGGTCGCTATGACTGCACTGAGGTGGCCAACTGGCCCGATCAGGCCCCGATTGGCCACCCCAAACCTCCAGTGGCCCCACCCCCAACCAGCCCCGCCCCCTGATCAGCCACTCCCACCCCAATTGGGGGTGGGCTGGCCGGCCAATCTCCCACATCCCCTCCCCACCCACCTGCCTGGCCCGATTGGCCCACATCGGGGCAGGCCGGCCGGACTCCACCCGTGCAAGAATTCGTGCACTGGGCCTCTAGTATTTATATATATGTATATACACACACTACAGGGCCTAACACAGGAGATAATAAATGGGAATAGTATTGTTATTTCTTTTCACACGTTATGTTTTACTAAATATACTGCCGCCCAATTTGATCCTCTACTTCATCTACAAGAGCTGTGTGGAAATTAATGTTTTGCTTGTTTCAAAGCAACAACAATATAGCTAACATTTAATACATACTTACTATGTAATGAGTACTATTTTGTATGCTATTCTTTGAACTTCACGCAATATCACTTAATCCTCACAATAAGAGCATGAGATAGGTGTTATCTACATTTTTATAGATGAAAAACCAGAAATTTAGTATTGTACTCAAGGTCACATAGTTTTAAGTAGTAGACAATAGAACTGAACATAAGCCTACACATCTAACCATATCAGATCCATCTTCAAAGTACAAAAATCTGTCCCCAAATCAAGAATAATGTAGGCAAAGAAGCCAAAGTATCACAGGTTCCAAAAACATCCCAAGAAGGACTGATTTCTTTGGAAGAACTGTCACCCACAGGTCAACTTGTGACCATAAAACCATATGTAATGGTTCTGCATTCTACAGAAAAGAAAGGCCAGAACAATCCAAGATGCAATCATCACCCAGTAGCATCCACTTGATCCCAGGCAACTCCATCTACAAAGGGAATATGGGCCCTAGTTGGTTTGGCTCACTGGTAGAGCATCGGCCTGCGGACTGAAGGGTCTTGGGTTTGATTCTGGTCAACGGCACATACCTCAGTTGCAGGCTCCTCCCTGGCCTGGGCACTAGTTGGGGCACGTGCAGAAGGCAACCAATTGATGTGTTTCTCTGACATCATATTTCTCTCTGTCTTTCCCTCTCTCTTCCACTCTCTAAAAATCAAGGGAAAAATATCCTCGGGTGAGGATTAAAATAAAACAAAACAAAAAGGGAATATGGAACCATGCTTCATCTCAAAATTACACCTACTAAAAAGTCATCCAAGCATTTTGGTGCCCAATGAGTAATACTTAATGAACAAGCCTGGGACTTTTTTAACTGTACTATACCATACTTGATTCATTTAATAGATTCCCACAACTTCGTTGCATCTGGAAAGAAAGAATTTCTCATCTTCTCCATTTTTCCTTAGCGAAGTTCCACTCCTCACATTTTTGTTCCTACGCTCCACCACCCACCTCTATCCCCCAGCTACATGATTTACATCCACTTGTCCAAATTACATGCAAAGAAAAAACCCCAACACATTTATTTACCCCATCTTTGAAATGACAATACTTGATAAAGAGTTAAAAGGGTACAAAACAAATAAGGCTCTGAAAGAACACATTTGCAAGTAATCACAAATATGCCCCCCAAAAGAGAGCCCAGCATTACCACCTACCAGTAGGAATGTGATCTTGGACACGCTGTTTCCTGTCCAAGATCACACCTCCTGAGCTTGCTCCCTCCCTCAGTGACCAGAAATGGTACTTACCGTTATAGAGGTGTTTAGTGTGTCACAGATGACTTAAAACAGAACTTTATCATGTAAGTAAAATGTCCTTGGGGGTTGGGGTGTGTGAAGAGAGCCTAATGTATAGTGACAGAAGATTTGCCTTCAGGTGGTGGGCACACAGTGCAATATACAGATCTTGCAGCAGATAAATCTACACCTGAAACCTATATGATCCTAATAACCACTATTACCTCCAACAAATTTAATTTTTTTAAATGTCTTACTTCTTAATCTTGTCAAAACAACAGAGGGAGAGGGTGGACTGCTGGGATATTTTGTAGGGATCAGCATAGGAGATAGTTTAAGCTTTTCATTCTGGTAATTTATCTACATAACCCAATGCACTTCTTGTTATTAAATTCCATGTTGTATACTAGAGTAGATAAAGCTGAAAAATATTAGATAACACAAGGGAGTTGACTGACGTTACAATGGGAATTGACAGTGCTCCATTTTCCCGGCATGCGTAAATACAACCTCAGTACATTTGCTGCCAACTATTCTCAGAAGTCTAGCTTCAAATCAAGTCTAGTCCCAAATCAATGTGTTCAGTAATTATCAGCTAATGGTTGTTTTCACCAGCAATATAAGGAGGAAGTTTAAAAGCTAAAACAAAGTCACCAACATAAGAGGCTCTGAGTATTAAAAGTTATGAGACTGGTTATATACTATTCAACTCTAAAGACTCTCAAAGGGGTGAGGGCATGAGTGTGTGTGTGGCGGGGGGGGGGGGGGGGGTAATGGGAGGATAAGGACACATATGTAATACCTTAATCAATAAAGAAAAAATCAAAAATAATAAAAATTCTATAACTAAAAATAATAACAAAACAACAACAAAGAAATATAACAGCAACACTTGAAAGCTTAGAAATCTGTCATATAAATCTGGGTTTATCAAGAGCTGAGGGAAAATTTGAGTCATAAAAATTAAAAGATTTTATGCTTTACAGCATAAAGAACACCATTAAGAAAGTGAAAAGACAACCCACAAAATGGAGTAAAATATTTGAAAATCACATATGTGAAAAGGAACTTATATCCACAATATGCAAAGAACTGTTACAATTCAATAATTAAGTAACCCAAATTTTTAAATGAGCTAGAGATTTATGTTTCTTCAAAGAAGACACACAAATGACCAATAAACATACAAAAAGCTACTCAGCATCATTAACCATTAGGAAAATGTAAAGCAAAACCACAATGAGGACTGCTGGTGGCCAAGATGGCAACATAGATAAACACGGTACCCGCCTCCTCTCACAACCATGTCAAAATTACAACTAAACTACAGAAAAACAATCATTCAGAATCTCCTAAAATCAAGCTGAATGGAAGTCCTACAACTACGAAATTAAAGAACCCACATTGAGACTGGTAGGAGGGACAGAGACTTGGAAGGGGCTGGTCCCACACCCACATGTGGGGGATAAAAATTGGGAGGGATACCTTGGCTGTGGAGGTCCCCAGTGAGGAGCAAGGGTCCCAGTCCCACACCAAACACCCAAGCTCAGGGTTTCACTCAACCTCTAGCTGTAAAAAACCAGCAGGAATTGAGGCTGAGGAAGGCTGAGGCTGCTGGAGTCCCAGACAGTTCCTCTTAAAGGGCTCGCACATGGAC